GAGCAGATCAGTGAGAGCGAAAGTGAGGATGAAGATAATGAGATCATCTACAACCCCAAGAACTTGCCACTGGGCTGGGCTGGTAAACCAATTCCCTACTGGCTCTACAAGCGCCACGGGTTGAACATCAACCACAACTGTGAGATCTGTGGGAATTATACATACCGTGGACCCAAAGCTTTCCAGTGACATTTTGCGGAATGGCGCCACGCTCATGGGATGCGATGCTTGGGCATTCCCAACACAACTCCCTTCGCAAATGTTACACAGATCGAAGATGCCGTGTCGTTGTGGGCCAAGCTGAAGCAACAGAAGGCTTCGGAGAGGTGGCAGCCAGATACGGAAGAGGAATATGAAGACTCCAGTGGGAATGTGGTCAACAAGAAAACCTATGAAGACCTGAAACGCCAAGGCCTGCTGTAAACAGAGATTCCCCCGCCCCCAAAACCACTCATATCCCCTTGTATCCCTTTTGGTGACTGGAGTCCTTGAGGGCAGGCACTCCTAGTCAACAGAATGGATTCTGTAAGACTTTTGCTTTATGTGGAACTGATACATTGAAATAAACTACTTTTAAAGGAATGAACATGTGGTCTAGTGATATGAAAGGAAGGTTCCTTTATATTAGGTAAGAACATAGGAGTTGCATACTTGTGTTCACAGCTGAGGTGCTATCTCTGGCTTTTCTGTTTCCTTCACTTCTCTTTGTAGCCATTATTTCTGAATAGTCAGTCTCTCGTTGCCATTTGCTCAAGGGAGCAGAGAAAAGCAAGCATTGGCATATGGGGAAACCTTGTTGGAGAAGAGCTAACAAGGCTTTGATGAAAGGCTGCCCTGTAGATCCTTTCCCAAATTATCTTTGGTAGAAAAGCAGGATTCTCTTGCCAGATGCCATGTTGGGAGTGGGGGGAGGGGGATAAAAAGAACCTGCTGCCCTTCCAGTGTATTAATTGGGGGGGTGGGGGCTACCCAGTACCTGCTACCATCAGTTAAGCCTGTGCCAATCTGCCACTAAGCAGTGTTTTTCCTTTGTTGACACCTGAGCTGCTACTCTGAGCCCTCTGGGAATAGAAAGAGTGGATCATTAAGTCTAATTGGGGCAGGTTTGTTGCTGTAATTGTCCCAGGAAGCTGAGACAGAGCTTAACCAAAAGCAAGCCACAGAGGTGAAGAGTTTTCTGGGAAATGGGGCAAACTCTTGCTTCTCTTCCAGAAGCCACTGGCTAAGTTTGAGCAGACTAGCAGAGGCTGTTATCCAGATGCCCTTAGGTGGGGACAGGGAGCAGCAGCTGTAAGCAAGGATTGGTTCCATTGTATGTGGGAAGATCCCTCAGGAGATCCAGGCCAATCTGGAGCAGAACAGTTGATCATAGAGAGAGAGACTGCTTTGCCCCTAAGTCTAACCTGGACCTTAGTCTCTGAAAAACAGTCTTCACTGGGATTCGTGTTCTGTGAGATTGCCAGGAAGCAGCTATTGCCAGCCCAAGCCATGATGCAAACTGGGAGGCCTTTTCTTGGCTTTCAGAAAGAGAAGGGTTTCACTCTTGGAATCAAGAAGGGAACCTTGTTTGGCAGAATTTCCTGTAGCAAATGGAGTTCTCAGACACTCCGGAGAAACAGCAGTGCCAAAAAGGTGTCCCTCTGTCTGTTTCCTGTCCAACTGACATAAATCAGGTGGCAAACTGGGAGGACCATCATAGAAAGATTTGCCAGGCAGGCTTACCTCCTCACCTTGGATGAGCCACAGTTGATCCAGGGCCAGGGAACATGTTGCCCAGAGCACCAGCGAGCCAGGTGCCTCTTCTTCCCCACCTTGGAGTGCTCTCGACTGGTTGGCTCCATCTCTACCTGGGCGGAGATGAGGGTTCTCAAGGGGACATTTCTTCTGCCAGCGCTGCAGGCAGAAAACATTCAGACAGACACCAAGGCTCCCTATGAGCGAGCAAGGTAAGTGAGCAGAGCAGGCATAGGGTCCGGGGTGGAACAGATTGCAGAAAAGTGGGGTGGTTGTGCGCCTGCCAGTTATCAAGAGGTGGAGTATTGAATGTCCAAGCCAGGGAGGCAGAAGCTGAGCCAATAGCAAGCCAGAACCTACACGCTTGATGCAGGAAGAAATTCCCAAGGACTCATAAGCCACAGCTTGGGAAGGAATGAGTTAGCCAAAAGACTGATCCTTTTTCTTGTTCTTGGAGTGTGCATGTCTGCAGACAAACCAAAGTTGACTCACATGGCTTCTGAGCTGCTGCTGGGCCATTTGTAGCCTGGAGCTCTAAGAGAACAGAAGCAGGTGAAAGAATAAGCTGCTGTGTCTTCCATTGTGGGCCATTGTAGGTTGGTGGCTCAAGCCAGAACTAATTCAGGACAAGGTTTTCACAAAATCTGAGCTGCGGCTTTGGGAAGGGTCTGGAAGACCGAGATTTCTGGGCAGGTCTCAGCCTGGTTCATTCCCAGAGGGCTGAGACAAAGAAGTGGGGATGGATTTGGAGCTGGAAAAGGACCTGCTTAGTCAGCCCAACCAGCTGGGTGTTGGCAGACACAAAGCAAGGGGCAGCTTTCTGTTTTTGATGCCTACCTGGGTGTCCCTCGCTTTCCTCTGAGGCTGAACCAAACATGCGTTGCTGGGCCAACAACGCATGTCATTAACCTGCAGCCCTGGGCCTTCGGGCTTGTCATTTTCCTGTCTCCCTGGCAGCCACAAGTCACTGGGGCCTGCCGGGCATCTTGGAAATGAGCCCAATTCTGTCCTAAACCATGCAGTTTGCTGAATAGATTTCAGGTTAGTGACTTTCTGAGGTGGCATGTCACCTCCAATCCCAACTTCTGAAAGAACAGTTGCCTTGTGGGGATGCAGGATGATGTAAATGATACACGAAGAGGCCAGAATGGTGAGCGCAGAAACCTGGAGAGTAGGGGAATGCTGGCCACAATAATGGGGAAAAAAATCTTAGAATTGGGATTGATTGCAAATTTATCCGGCAGTGTGGTAGGACTGCAAAAAATGCAATTCTAAGCCACATTTAGAGAAGAATTTTTCCAGATCAAAGGATGATTCCAATTTCTTTTCCTTTGGTGAAATTTCATCCCAAATATTACGTTTTTAAAACGTGCATTTTAAAAAACATTCAGAGGCACCAGAAGAGGTTCAGAGGACGGGCCACAAGGAAGACTCAGTAGGACCACTTATAAATTGAGTTTGAAGGAGCTGGACACACTGAGTGGCCTTAAGACTGAGTGGCACGTGATAGCGTTTTTTCAAGCAGCTGAATTGATGTCAAGCCTACGGTCCAGCTTGGCTTTCTATTATACCAGAAATTTATATGGAATGTTTAATTTCAAGCAGGCAGATTTTATTTCAATGAGGGGTGGGGGGGAGAGCCGATATACCCTTTATGTGTTCAGGCAGGAGCTGAACAGCCTTTGTTGGGGGGAGCTTTGAGTCAGGCCCTGCACTGATCAAGGGGTAACTTAGCCTTCAGAAATGACTTGGTCAGCAGCTGACCAGTTAATGAGCCTCCTGGTGAAACCCTTGTCCTGGATAGAGAACTTTGGCTTTGGATCTCTTACCATATATTGGGTTCCCCAAAACATCTTAGTGGTAACACTGGAGACATCCTGGGGGGAATTTGTGCAGAGCCAGCTTGAAAAGGAAAGACTGTCAAATAAGGTGGTCTTTCCTTATTTGACACAGATTCTCCTGTTTCTTAGCCCTGTGTGGGACATGACTTATTGTAGCCTAACTTAACAAATGCATTACAAGTCATTTCCTCCAAATAATAGATATTCATGCTACGGTAGTTAAAATAGTTCAGACAGCAGATAAATGTGAGGGAGGAGAGAGAACGAGAGAGAGAACATAAAGCAGTATAACAGAGTTGGAAGGGATCTTGGAGGTAATCTAGTCCAACCCCTTACTTGAGCAGAAAATCGTATACCATTTCAGACAAGTGGCCAGTCTCTTCTTAAAAGCCTCCAGTGATGGAACACCTAAAACTTCTGAAGGCAAGCCATTCTGCTGGTTTATTGCTCTCACATCAGGATTTCCCCCTCCCCCCTTAGTTTGAGATTGCTTCTGTCCTTGATTAGTTTCCATCCATTGTTTCTTGTCTTGACTTCTGGTGCTCTAGTAAATAGATTGACTCCCCTCGTCTTTGTGACAGCCCTTCAAATATTGGAACATTGCTATCATGTCTCCCCCTAGTCCTTCTTTTCACTAGACTAGACATACATAGATTACTCACATAGACTAGATATAAGCCCTTCCAAGAACTGCCCTAAGAGAAGAAGGAACACTCTTTTCTGCAACAGCAGTGGTGCAGCACTAGAGTGGAAGTACCACTCATCAGGTTTTCCAGATCAGGGAGATTGATAGCAATAGCAATAGCACTTAGACTTATATACCACTTCACAGTGCTTTACAACCCTCTCTAAGCAGTTTACAGAGTCAGCCTCTTGCCCACAATAATCTGGGTCCTTATTTTACCCACCTTGGAAGGATGAAAGGCTGAGTCAACCTTGAGACTGGTGAGATTTGAACTGTAGCTAGCAGTCAGCTAAAGTAGCCTGCAGTACTGCATTGTAACCACTGCCCCATCCTCCCTAAGACTTTGAAAAAGCCAGCTCCAGCTTTCCTTGCTGCTGGATAGATCAGGAATAGAGAAAGAGCTTGGTCAGATCTAGGATGGGAGAAGTCAGGCAACTGAACTACTTGCTCTGGACTGTCCCCAGCTAAGTTGAGGAAATACAGTCATGACCCAACCACAATGAGGGCTCCTCCTTGACCTTGATTGTGGGGGTTGCCTTGGCAACCGGTTCCCCACCATAAGTTGATGGCTCACCCAGCGCCTGTGGTTATGGCAGAATGAGTGGTCACATTGCAGGGATCAGGATTCAGCAGCCTGGCTGGGTCAGAGCCTTCCCACAGCTTTGCATGGTGTGTGGATCTTGTCTGCTTTTCCTCTCCAGCAAAAGGAAACACAACCTCTGCAGAGACCACAGGGGACTTCCTCCCCTCCATCTAGAGAAAGGAGTTCTGTGCTCCAGGATGATCCACTCCAACTTCCGGATCCTTTTGGCCCAGGGTAAGAAGGTCCTTGGAGAAAATGACTGGATGAATAATAGCCTGCCACCCATCAAGTTGAAACATGAAAACTGCCCTTCCATTTATTTATTTATTTATTTATTTATTTATTTATTTATTTATAGGGTTTGTATGCCGCCCACTCTCGAGAGACTCGGGGCGCCTTACAGATAAAAAGGAAGGGGGAACATACAAAAAATTAAAGAACAACATTAAAATTCCACAACATTCATAGCTTAGGATGGGACTGGATAAATCAACAGCCCCAGGACTGCCGGAACAGCCAGGTCTTGGTCGCTTTGTGGAAGGCTGGAAGGGTAGTAAGGGTCCGGATCTCCATGGGGAGATCGTTCCATAGGGCCGGAGCAGCTACAGAGAAGGCCCTCCCCTGGGGAGTCGCCAGCCGACATTGCCCGGCAGATGGAATCCGGAGGATAGGTGCTCGCGGAGGATAGGTGCTACGTGGGTGTACCTAGGTACACCCACNGGTGAGATTAGAACCACTGAACTGCAGATAACAGTCAGCTGAAGTGGCCTGCGGTACTGCACCCTAACCACTGCGCCACCTTGGCTCTTTTATTCTTTAGACTTCTAACCACCACAGACTTCCAGCATTTATGATTTAATTATTAAATTAACTTATTTCTTACTCAGCAACTGAGGGAGGGTACGGCTTCAAACCACTGCATCTTCAGTCAGCTCACCTTCTGGATTCATGCAACCAGAAACAAAAAAGCCAGAATCTCATTTTCTAAAAGGAAAATCCAGCTCTTGATCCCCTCACAGCTCTTCTCCCAACTGCCTTTTAAAGGGAATGGGTTCTCCCACCCATTGCCTGGCTTCCTGCAGAGGAAGCATTCCCCATGGTGTCTGATTCTGACTCACTCACCAACTGCATCTTCTCTCTCTCCATACAGATGAAAAAAACAGGCTCCCATTTTGTGGCAGGCTGTAGCCAAAGTTGCAAAACCAAGGGCAACCCGTGCTCCCACAAATCTACTGCTGCGTGCTACCAAGAGTGCTGCCAGGCTATGCCCAAAACCAGCTGCCTGAAGCTGGATGGGAAAGTGCACTTCAACAGGGCGAATGGCCTGGCATTGGCTTCTCTGTTCCAGCTCCTGGCCTGGGCTGCCCTGCTCAGTCTCAGCTGCTCCATCTCCTTCTTGGCTGAGACCAACTGATCCACACTCAGTGCCTTCAGCCCTGAGATATGCTGGGCAGGAGGGAACTCCCTCCCCATCCTCACCCAAGTTGCTTCCCTTCTGTTCTCCTCAGTTCCTTTTCCCCAGGAAAGCAAGAGGCATTCAGGAGAATGTTTCTCTTCTTCCTATACTGCTAGTGCTCAGTTTATTCTGATTTCACCCCAAATATCTGCTGTGTTTCAGCAGGTGCATGTAATATTCTTCAGCCAGGCTGTAGGGACTCTGGCATGGGCTGACTCTGAATGGCCCATATCCTTGGAGCTGGAATGAAGGATTCTCTTTGGTCTGCAGGAAACACTCTTCCAGGACAAGCTAGGAAGTGTTTTTCCTTGGGATGACTGTGCTGAGCCCTTCCATGTTGTCCTTCTAACTCCCTTGATGGGAACACTTGGATTCAGACCCAACAGCAGAAGGGACCCTAAGCCAAGGGAACAAAAAGGAAATCTAGCTAACTCTAGTTTATGCCTCTGTCTCTCTCACTCATCCTCTTTCTCCAAAGCTTTGCTTCTCACTGCTTCTTTTATTCCTGTTAATTCTTTACTTGTTATTTCCTTGTTCTTTTGCAGGACACCACCAACCTTTCCCAGCCTTCCCTTCCCCCTCACAATTCAGCTTTTAGTCATAACACTTTCCACACGTAACCATTCTTGCTGCATCCACTCCATTTTTCATTGATCTGCTGAACTGTAAAACTGTGATTTGCACACTCCCTGCCTGCTGCTTATGCAATTTCAATCCGAATTGTGCCACATGCTTTCCCAGGTTAACAAGCTAGGTTTTCCATTCCCTTTGGTTATACTCCTCTTTGTATGGGGAAGTGACAATGGCATGCTGCAGACTGCCAGGCAAAGAAGCAGTCTTCACACATATTACACAATTGCTACAGCTACTTTCCCAGGGATAAAATCTGTTACACCAAATATCCCTGTAGCTGTGCCACTCTCCCCGCATCTGCAGCTTGCTTTTTACCTTCTGTTTTGACCACTAACATGTTTATCTCAATTCCGTATTTTGACATACAGTATCACTATTGTTGGACTACTCCTAAGAGCAATTTCCTCACTCCACTTTCATCCCCAATCGTTTCATCCCTTCCATATTTAATTCCATTCACTCTGTTGGAGGCTCATTCTTTGGCTGTCTCATTCGTCCCAAATAATGTTTTACTTTCCGCAAAAATTGCACTGCATTTTCTCTGCCCATTTTAATCTGAGCAATCCCTTACTGTCCTCTATTTTTTATGCTTTATGAGATGTAGGGAAGCTGCCTTCCCTACAGCTCATTTCATCGCAACTGTTAATTGTTATTTGCATTTTTCCTCTTCGGGAATCAATTTCATTCTGACGTTCCGCCGAGCGTTCTTTTTGTATTTGCCAGGAACTGCTGCTACTTTCTGCAAGATTATACTTCGCACTCTTCCCCGCCGAGCCCCCTCCCCTTTTCTTAGCTGCCTTTTCCAGGGGGTCAACGTGTTTCGTAGTGCTTTGGCATCCACGCAGGAGAGCCTCCTCCACTGCGCAATATTCCGGCCAAGTTATTCCGCCGCCGCACCACTAGAGCGGGGTATCATAAGGGGAACAGGTGGGGGGCAGATGCTACCCCTCCTCCCTGAACAGGCTCTTCCCGTTGTTCGATGGTCAACGTGTGCTGCTTCCTTTATTCCCCTGTGCAAATAAAGTATCCGATACCCTGCAGCCATTCCGGAGTGTGATTCGCCTGGGAATCGGGGGTGAGGAGGGGAGGGGGCCGCCGCGCAATTAGCCTCGTGAGGGCTCTTCTCGGCGATTCCGCAGCAGGTACGGGACCGCCGGAGAGGGACAAGAAAGGGAGACGCCTCCCCGGAGAGACTGGAGCGCCGGGACCATTCCCCGCACGGACGTGTCGAGAGGTCGCGAGAGCAAATTGCTCCTGTCCGGAATACCGCGCCATCGGGTGGGAACGCTCTCCTTCCAGCGAGGAGCCCCGGGTACCGCCGAGCCATTCCTCCGTCGGCACATAGCCCTCGCGGTCCCCGCCCGCTCTGTTTCCCCCCCCCCCCGGCGCAGGACCCGCCAGCCCCCAATGCTTTCGTCAGCCTCTCCTCCTCCCCACACCCAGGCCACCGCCCGGCGCCTCCCTTCGCCCTTGCTGTCCGGAGACGCCCGCCGCGGTCTTGGTGCACCCGGCGCCCCGCATGGATCGTTCGGGGGTGATCCAGGAGGCGCTGGCTGCCGGGCAGACGTGCCTCGCTTTGGCCGAGAGAGGCGCCGGCGGACTGGAGTCGATGCTGTGCTGCCTGGTGGGACCAGGCAGGGCGCGGCGGCTGCGGGCGGAGCCTGCGCGGCTGATGTGGCGGGTGGGCGAGCGGATCCTCCGAAGTCTCCCTTGATTGTGCGCCGCAGGCCGTGCAAGGCACCCTGGTGGTGGAGCAGGCGAGCCAGTGGAGAGCCGGTTGCTGGGCCTGGTGGAGAGCGGCGGGAGATGCCTGTGAACGACCGCCGCCGCGAAGGCCGAGGGAAGGGCACCCGAGCCGAGCCGGGGAATCTTACTGGCACCAGTCAGCCGGAGACGCTGGGGAGGTGGCGGTGAATTGACTGAGGTGGTCTGGGGTGATGCGGCTGTTTAGAAAGGCAGTCTCGGCTCGCCAGAGGAGCCTTTGCTCGCTTGCCCAGCCGCCGCTTCGAAGCGATTCCTGCAGGCTGCTCCTGGGTCATTTGAGCCTTGCCTGAAGGGGGGCCTTTGACTCTGCCCAGGAGGGAGAGGCGGCCGCTGCCAGGCTGGAGCTGGGCCTTCCTTGGGGCCGAGGGCGAGGGGTTTCTGTGTGACGGGGCTCACTGGAGATGAGCTCTCCTTGCTGTGCCTGCAGGATCTGCCTCTACACCCACTGACGCATGCCCATTGCCGCCCTCTCTCCTGGATTTTGCAGGTTTGGTCTCCAAGTCTGAAGAGTTGAGGACAATGTTCCCTTTAATTTTTTTTCAGTGTGAGCAGAAAAGTATAGTGTTTGAGCGGCATATTTTCATGCCTGAGCANCTCGGTCAGAGTCAGAGTTACTAGCCCTCCAGCGGCGCTCTAGGAGTCTCTTTTGGCGCTTCATCTCCCGGAGTTCCTCGGTGAACCAAGGAGCCATCCTGGATCCACTACCTCGGAGAGGCCGTTACTTCTATTCTACTTCTCCACTGAATTTCTGCCTACCAAACACTGCGTCTTGTCCCAGGGGATCCCAAAATATGTGCTTGGACTTTGAAAGAGAGGGCTTGTGAACTGGGGTCCTGTAGATTACTCTCCTACGAACTGGAGATGTCCTCTGGTTCCATCACTGAAAGTCCACTTTCTCTGTTTGTCTGCAGGCCTCCTTCTCCTCTGCAGTCTTTCCTACTTTGGCACTCAAGGTCCTTATGCAGAAGCAGGTGAGATGGCTGGATGTGAGAACCAAAGGAAAGGGCCAGGCAGGCCTGAGTGGATGGGGGGGGGAGAGGGACCACTAGGCATCTCTACCACTATTTCCCTTGCCTCTCTGAAATACCAAACCTTGTTCCTGTTGTACCCCACAAGACCCCTATTGGTCCAGTTGCTTATCTCTCTTTCTCTCACTTTTTCCAGAGCCAGATTCAATCTCTGGAGCAGCCATTTTCTCCAACCATTCCCTGAACGGGACAGGTGTGATACCTGTAAGGAAACTGGGCTACTGAGCAAAAGGGGGGAATCTTTTTTTCCTTAGCTGGACAGAGAAATGGGGGCCCTTTGACGAAGGGGAAGATTGGGCTGGGTGGAAGCAGCAGGGAAGAGCCATGGGAAGGTTTGTGGGATGCCACAGAGGCAAAGCTGGCCACCAGAGTGTTGGCACAAGAAGGGCTTTGGCCTGGTCGCTGTGTACCTCCAGCTCCCTCTCTTCTGGCAGCTTACTTGCCAGAGTTTCCAGTGTTCAGGAGAGATGTGCTACCAGGAGGAGGCCCATGGCAACAATTCCCAGATCTGCCACAATGCTTCACAATGCGAGGTAAGGGTTCCAGAGATGCCTAATTGATGGGGGGATGACAAGGAGTGCTCCTTCTTGAGCCCTAGTAGGGATTCCTGAAATGCCAGCCCTGCTCATGCTTTGCGGCTCTCGCAGCTCTATCGTCTCAACAGCACCAGCTACACAGCCCGATGCAGTAGTGATTGTGGAAGTGCCAATGCCACAGAGATGTGCCTCCACAGCGGAGGGCTAGACCTGGAGCTCTGCATTATGGAATGTTGCAACTCGCCCAACTGCCTGCAGCTCAATGCCACAGCATATGGTAAGCTCCTCTTGGGAGGGGGCTTTTGCGCCCTTGGGGGCTTTCTGCCACTTGATGGAACTGTTGGCAAGAGGCATTCTTGGTATGGCTTTTCCTGGCTTTCTCTCTGACTTCCTAGGAACAGGAGCTGCCTGCCCAGTAGTTTCAGTGCTTGTGTTGAGGGCCACCTGGAGAGCTTCCTGGGGAGCAAGGAGCCAAATTTTTCTTGTTTCTTCCAGGTGACAGGGCACCCACCACCACCTCAGTTCCCACCACTACCACTACCATCACCACCACCACCACCACTGTACCACCCCGCAATGTAAGTGTTCCGTGGGATGTTCTCTTCGCAAACTCATTCGAGTCAGATTGGCTACCATGTAGGAACCTCCTGGCCCCTCAAATGTTTGCGGTTCTAGAAGAAGACCTCCCTGCTGCATGGCTGAGCTTAGCTTTTCTTCCTTTCTAGGGAAAGGTTTGCTCCAGCTTTACCTGCCATGGAGAAGGCTGCTTCAAAGGTCAGAAGTCCTCAACCAGCTGCATTGTGGGTCACGACTTCTGCGAGGTATGATGGCTGCCAGGACCTTTGAAAGCCAAGCTTTGCTCTATTTGCTTTCTAAGGATAGATGCCAGCACAGTGAAGGTCACCTTCTCTTGCAACCCCCCGCCCAAAAGTTGATGGCAGAACAATGTCTCTGGTTGATACCCTCAAAAGTGGTGCTGCTCCTAAGATACACTAGCTAGTGGGATGTAGTGACTGTAAAAAATTACTGTTATCTTATAATTTCCTGGTTAATTAGACTTAGCAATAGCAATAGCAGTTAGACTTATATACCGCTTCATAGGGCTTTCAGCCCTCTCTAAGCGGTTTACAGAGTCAGCATATCGCCCCACAGTC